TAGTTGATAAAGTCAACGCAAAAATGACTACCCATCCCTTACGGCCAGGGGGCATACTTTCAAACTCGCTAAGTGAACGTAAGTACATACGCTCTAATTTCTTGTCTATGATTGGTGGATTTTGCTTGAAAGGCCGTCAATGATTGGCTGATGAACTAACAACTTAGCGATTTTTGAAATTATGGCCCCAGGTCTTCATTAAGAATATCCAGGTGACGCACTACGGCCACTGGCTTTCTGTTCCTCATTTGCCCATAACGTTCAGAAGGAGTGCGGTCGACGCGGGAGGGCTACATGGCAACAAGCGTGTCTCCGGCTACGAAACGATGCCGTGAGTGGCATATCCGAGCAAAAAGAAAAACGCGCGCTTCAGAAGCGAAAACGTTCGTTTTAATGATCGATCGTCCCCTCCAAATGAGCAGGAAGACGAGCATCAGTAAAAATGAAGACAAAAACATGGTGGTGACGGAAGCGCCTCGTTACAATGTTTGGCTCGCTACAAGGGGCTTGTATGCGAGTGAGAACGACAGCGTGACTCAATCAGACGACATAAGAGCGACATTTACAGCAGAACACACACAGGAATACAAACAATCCTTTGAAACTACACCAAGCAAAAACTTGTTAAGCTGATAACTCATTAACATAAAATCGTTTCAATACATGAATTTTGCATCGATTTATTTTGTACACTTCGACTAAAACATGAATATTAACCTTATAAGCGACTCGTGCAGTTTTAGTTTATAGAGAAAGATTCACAGAATACATTCATAAATTCCATATAATAGTACAGCTATTTTGGACTTTAATACATCTGAAACATTTCAAAGCATTACAAATCATTTAAATTGATAAATGAAGTTATAAAATTCAACTATGAAAAGAAGACAGTGTCTCAACATAGACGCTTGACAAAGCGTCTCTGTTGAGACATTGACAAAGTGACTGAACAAAAATCATATCGACAAAAACGAATAAAAGCGCACTTAGCGACTTGAGATGTAATGAAAGGAGGCATTTCGACAAAAATGCAAGGCAAATAGTAGTTTAAATGGCATTAATGTTGCCTGATAAACGTGTCCACAGAAATTCTTGTTGACTGGAAAGACGCGCTCTAAGTGAAGCGTATCCAAGAACCGGTAGCAATTCTGTAAGCTCAACGTCGGAAAGAAAAAAAACGGGAAGAAGAAGTTGAAAATTCTGGACCGTGGCGTTCCAGTGAGTGCATACCTAGAGACCTAGAACAGAACTGAGTATAGAATAACGTTGCTCGAGCTCAATGTTCGGCTCAGCGTATGTTACGAACGCTTGCGTTAAAATTAAAGGTGGCACAGGGGCTTTCTGTCAAATCGAGGCAGTACTATCAATTCCATGATTGCGAAATTAAACTGAAAATTATAATAATAAAAAAGTTAGACAATTAAAAAAAATTCAAAATACTAGAGCTAAAAAGATGAAAGCATAAATTAAATGAATTTTTGAGGTCACGTGGCAATAATAAAAGATGAGGAAAAAATTAATGCAGCAGAGTTGTAAATTCAAGAAAATGTCCACAAAAGACAGGCATGTAAACAAATTCCCTATGAATAGCAGGCAGATTAAATACCACGAGAACATTGCCTTTGATTGGAATGTTCAAGTCGTAAACGTTAGGATCGTCGTAACCGCCACTGGAGCTGCTATAAAAGCTGCGGTACCTCCCTTGGAGCGACACCACCCCTAACAAAATTTAGAGTCGCCCCAGCTTCTGGTAATCCAAATCAGACGTTGCCGCGTCTGAAAATTTTCACTGGGGTACAGAGCTCCTGGAACAATTGGCAAGGTCCAGGCCGTTCCAATTCACTTTATTGTTTTATGGTGAAACAAAAAGCGGTTACTTGCATGGTAGTAGAAGTCATCTATACAAGGAAGAATCAAATATTGAAAAGACTCAAATTGTGGAAATTTAAAACTGGAAAGATTTAAGTTAAGATACTATTTTACTATTAAACCAATGATTTCGCACTTGTTATCAAGCAATTTCAGCAGTGAACAATAGCAATAATGAACAACATTTTTTGGTGAAACTCATTGAACAAATGTTATCTAAAAATATTAAATTCAGGCAAATAGCATTAACAATCATGAAGAGAAATAAATAAAATAATTATTGAAAATCACGTCAATAACTATAACACCAAAAAATTGCATTAAAAAACGGTAATTGGAAATATTTTCAAAGCAACTTCATTTACTTGAATCATCAATCAATAATTTAACTGTGTGGTGTAAAACACAATAAAATATCATATTTTCGGTTGAAGGCTAGCGAGTCCGAGAAATTCGATGAAACTCTCCTCGCGGAGCAGCCTCCGGCACTCGATCAATTGGAAACCAGAACAAAATGATGAAAAGTCAATAAGTGTAAATGCAGCAGTTGACATCGATCAGATATAAAGTTTCTTACTCGACTATGCATTGAAATTGCTAGATTGTCAGAGCGACGGGAATCCCATTTTGCGCTTGTTTGCAGAGCTAAAATTTAGCTGATAAAAGGTCATATCCTAAAAGGTCATATCCTATTTTAATTAAAATATTTGTTGACTCTCTTTTGCTATTCTTCTACATTTATTTCGTATGTTTATTTTTATTTATGATAGCATTCATCGAGTGATTTGATAGAAATAGTGATCTCAAAAATAACTTCAAAGGTCAATGAATTATTTATTCCTCGATTCCGCACAGATCAAAACACCCTCGTCTGTCCGCACAGCATCGCATTGTTGTGGTCTCAGGACCGTCGAGTGCTGATGGCTTTGGTTCCGGAAAATTCGCACACGTACTTTTACCACCGTCCAGTCCCCTTTTCACCAGGGGGATTTTGCTGACTCCCATCCTTGTACGGGGTGGGGACGCTAGTGGTGAACGCTCTGGCGTCAAGCCATCCCCAGCCGAAGCGTAACGAGCGGGCGTCAGCCCAGTTGTGGTTTAGTTTCGCGACCGCAAAAACACGAAAATCAACACCAGCCCTGAACCGTGCAGTACATCGCTAACGCCAAGTGCTGTTCCAATCGTGACACCAGCTCTACAGCAGCAACAAATTTTTTTGGTATAATAGAAATGATAAGTTTATCATTGTTCATGGGACATTCCGCATAATATTAAGCATTGCGTTCTCATATGCTAGCTTTAATCACAACACTATAATCACATAGCCGGCAGATGCAACTCAGTTCAAACGAGCAAACTCCGATTGCAAATTGATTCATTGTACTTAAACCTTTGCGTCTCGCAATCGTTTTCTCTAAAAAAAACAGAAAGGAGGCGAGACGAGAAATTATGCAGGAAAAAGGTAAGGAGAAAGAGAAAAAAAATTAGGCGGAATAAAGTTTTAGATGTGAACAATAATTTTCAAATACAAATTAAAATGTATTTCCGGCAATTATGAAAAGATGCAAGACAGATATACCCATATGTTTAACAAGTTAACGCTTGATTATCATGGTAAATCACCGGTTAAAGCTTGAATCACCGGTTAACAGGTTGAAGCTTGATTATCACGGTTAACAAGTTAACATTTGATTATCACGGTTTAATAACACCATTTGGCAGTTTCATCAATGTGCAGACTTGATAATGCATGGCTGACAGAATAATCAGAATAATCTTCTTGTTAAACAATTCTCACATAATGCATCATATTCTGTGCACTTCAAATAATCGCGCCTGACGCTGACTGTATGAGTGCAGACTGCGTTCCTCGATCATCATTTCGCACTGGCGTCAGCTATATAGAGTCGCGGACGCCTTGTTTATGAGTAGCATTGGTCGGGCCTTCTATGGCCCTTCAAATCATTTGCAAGACATTAGCGAAATCATTTTAAATACTATAATCCTTGAAATTTTGAAAACTGTCGGAAAGTTGTTCATAAGTTTGAAAAAAATTATTATTGAAATTTCATACTCAGGATTACCAGGAATGTCTCGTTATTTATCGTTATTACGTAAAGAAATGGAAATTGCGGGAATTTGTTAATATTTAATTTTGTCAGACGTTTCGTATCTTCTCACTCTCGTCACGGGTTAACAATGATATTGTGTATTCTCCATTTTTATTGCTGGTCGGGACGTGTTTTTTGGATCCTATCGTCAGGAGTAAAAAAAAATAATCAAAGGCATATGCTGATTGTGATTCAGTTGTTTTCCACATAACATTGCCATCAACTAAAAAACGATTGCTCTTAAATTGTACTAGCAGCCCAATTAAACACGATTGCCTTTCTTCAACATAGTTGTTAAAGCCAGCATCTTAATTTGGGCTGAAGTGTGATGTATTTCCGAGATGGTGGCCTCAAGGGCTCGCAAATCTCGCAATGGAAGCTCATTTAGCAGCAGCGAGCCGGCGGGGGCACCTTTGATACAGAGATTTCTGCGTACCCACCGCGGGGGGCGAGCCTAGCGCGATCCTTCAACGTACGACGCGTCCTAATGGATAACTTACAGGATAGAAAGTGCGATGAATCCATCCTAATCGTGTGAAAGAAAGTTTTGGTAGTTCAACAGGAACATAAAGACAAAGTTTTAGATGAAAATATCAAACAAATAATTGTAAAAGATGATTTTTTTCCAGAGGATCGAATTAGTCCTCAATAGAAGATAAATAATCAAATTTAATCCCATCAATTGAGAACGGGAAGAAATGCAAGCAAATAAAAACATTATAAAATCGCACATACCAAACAATTTCAACAAGATATGCTCGAACTCATATTCAAGCGGTACAGATTACGGAATGGAACTTGAGAAGCACAATGCTAGGCATCGCTTTTTAAAGCACGATGGCAGTTGCTAAACGTTTAGCGTGCTAAAATTATTCAGAAATCACGCACAAAGTCAAGCCAGAACGTCAAGCCTGAACATCAAATAAATGTGCTGATCAAGCTGTACGTTAGTCAACTAATCTATCAAATAATAAATAATTTTCTATTCCTATTAGATGAGAACACATTTGTACTCACCACAACTGTGCCGCCTCGCGTTTTTGTGCTGAACAGCGTTGCGCCGAACCACTGCCGACTCTTCTCATCCAACACCTCGCCTATAGGATGCCTGTTATTGCCTGCACAAAAACACGGTGATATTTGTTATAGGAATAAGAGAAACAGAAAATAAATTCTAAATTAAGCATTTTTACAATTTATGAATTTGCTTCTAATCATAATAATCTCTTTTCATCAACAGCGATACATGCACACGGTATGCCACATCCCTGAGTCAAGTTATTCATTACCTCCACATTACCTGCATCACAAAACCCACAGTGGGACCTGAGTTCGTTTGTAAAATAAATATTCGTAGTTAATGTGCATTAACACAGCTAAATATATTAAGCACCGAACCGTTTCGTAAGCACCTAATAGTTTCTGAAATTTGGTTCGCAAAAACAGGGAAACGTTCGTAAGTGGAGGCAAAAAATCTCGAACCCCCGGTTCAGGGGCCATACTTTCAAAAAAAGTTAAGAGATCGTAAGTTCATCAGCCAATCATTGACGGCCTTTCAAGCAAAATCCACCAATCATAGACAAGAAAATAAAGCGTAAGTACTTACGTTCACTATACTTTCAAAAAAAGTTAAGAGATCGTAAGTTCATCAGCCAATCATTGACGGCCTTTCAAGCAAAATCCACCAATCATAGACAAGAAAATAGATCGTAAGTATTTACGTTCACTTGCGAGTTTTGAAAGTATGGCCCCGGATCAGGAAAAGTACGCAAGTGGAGGCGTTCGTAAGTCAAGGTATTACTGTAATACATATTCATTATAAAGAAACGTAAGTTCTGACTGACTATCACTGACATTAATGACAATGGATGACTAGGATTACAGTTCTGCAATAATGAAATATTCAATGGTGGGCACCGCGCTGTCCCTTCGGTGACTTAGTAATGACTTCTCAGTTACGGTTAACCATGCAATGGTTTGCAGGAAACTAAATTCTTATTTTGATTCATCAACAATGAACACGCGAGACCTATTACGGTCAAAATTCAAAAGCTTTCAAAAGAGTGAAAAAAGTGTTATAATATCAACAATAAAAATATTAGCTGCAATCGCAATAACGAGAACTATAAAACAGATAACGACCTTAATGCAGCGACATGAGACAGAAATCAACAGGTATTGCTGAGACGAGCTCCGAGAGTATATTCTCGCGTGATCAGGCATTCTACCAACACAACACAAGTCGTCAATAGCTTACCATTAGAAGAAGAACTGGACACATCAAAGCCATACTTCACGTCTGTGAGGTTGACCACATTCTCGAAGAGCTGGTTGCCTGCGCATTAATAACGAAACACGGGAAAGCGTTAGTTACAACACGGGTTAGGAGGCGACACGAAGCCAGTTCACATTATTTGGAGAATTAGAGCAAAGCTAATTAGAATGCGAATGAAATATATTAATTGTGCATGAAGCTATTACGTGACAGGGAAGGTGATAAGGGGAAGCTGTTAAATATCGACTTATCCAATAGTCTGACCGTGCGAGAGGTTTGTGAGAAAAACATTTACTGAACAGAATGCAAAACATTGGTCACACTCACAAATATATCATTTTGATAGGAATATTGGGAGATTCTTCCAGCCAATGTTGTGTTTTGCACCTCGATATTTGATTGTTACAATTGGCAATAATTTCAGATCTTTGCAAATAAATTGTGCAGACGAAAAGAAAAGAGGTGAATTAATGGCTGAAGCATTGAAAACAATTTTAGTGCTAAAATATCCTCTAGAATTGCTTCATTCAACAAGAAATGACAAAAAATCGTAAATAAATGTCATGAAGAATTTAAAATATCGATAAAATATAACAATGTATGCATATCATAATATGATATTAACTTCCTAAATGAAAGAAATAGATGTAAAAGAGATAACATAAACACTGAAATGGTCGAGAATGCATGGTGGTGACGACAGGTCTATTCCTAGTGGGCAAGTTGATCGCGTCTATAAGGTTTAGTGAAGCAACACAAAAAAGCTCTATACTCATTGCTATGAACTTTTGGATAAATATGCATTATGAATGCAATCAACTGATGTTATATATATTGTTCAACGTCACAAAGTATTATAAGGATGAAAATTGGAAATATTCGATGAAAACTGGAATTGAAGTAACTATAAATACGGTAATTTATGGGAAGTAGGAACATTAGATGTATAAACTTTGTAATTAGTCAGCGTGAAAATGCATTGGCTCAATTTTCATATATTTAAAAAGACGTAAATGTTAATATAATAGGTCATTAATAGGAAGAACAAAAATAATGTAATAGCAAACGAATGACACGTTGGAATTTTTTTATCCAAAGGGCTCGTTAGAAGCGCACAAACGTACAAGTTTTTATTAAACAAACAAAGGAACTACTTACCAGTTCTATTTACGGTAGCACATGCAATGTATTAGCCTTAAACTCTGAATACTTACGATTGTCTAAATAATTACATGTCTGAGATAAACAAAAGACTTGGAACCTTGTACACTGACTTGCTATAATAGGTTTACGACACTATTGTTACGGCGTTATAAATATTTCTGTCTTTATTACCCTAATAACCGAGAACTGCAGCATATAATTAAATAAGTGATGCAAAACTTCAGAGCAACTCGACGTGTTTCAGCTACAGATGGCAGATGACTGAATATACCTACACACGGCGGCCGTATCAGTGTTTGATTAGTTTCAATCTGAACGGTCCTCCAAATTGTTCAGGGAATATATGTTTCATGTGAAGAACCTTAATGCAATTTTTTTAAATCGGCAGTAAGAAACACACAGTTTTGTGAAGCTTACATATCGGTTTCTGAAAATTAATACAAGAAACATTTCTGGAAAACAATACAGTAAAGAAATTAACCAATAAAATCAATATGGTAAGAATATACATATCCAACGTGAATCAGCTATAAACAAAAGAATGAACACTTAAGTCGTACCAAATTACTGGTGGTTTGTCATTCGCAAATTACCGAGCTGACAGACAAATCAAAACTGATCGAGCTCGCACAGGTGAACTCTGTCTTTAAATGTCAATTTAGAATAGAAGTACTGTTGAAGGTTATGTTTTAATACTTCACATGAGTCAAGATAATTAACTTGCAAGCTCAAAAACACGATTTAATAAATAGAAGTTGTTAAGAAACCTCAGTAGTTTCTTACTGTGGAATCTACTACGCTTAAATATTCCCGTCACATAATAATTACAATTTTCAGTCATCGAGCAGCTCGAAAGAACATCCATGTAATTTGGCAATGAACCATTATATGCATTATACAAGCAGTTCGGTCAGTGCTTAAATTGGTTTAAGAGAAATAAGCAGCGCATATCTACGGGACTCAGATACGATGTACATTTTGAAAATAGAAAGTTTCTCGATGATCCAGAAAGCAGTCGTATACAAGTGGAGAAAGTGGTTGAAGATGTGAGGCGCTAGAATAACGTTTGATTTGAAAATTACAATTCCATTACTAAAACGATTTACTCGGGATAATACCAAGACATCATACGAGCCTGCCACTTGGATTATGCAGTATACTTTTGCACTAACTGCAGGCTTGAGATTTACAGAAGCCGTTAAGCTAATATAAAATTTCATCGTCACTCTTAACAATTTCAATTGGCGACATCTAAGAAACCTGGGGTGTTTAAGAGTAGCCAATATTTCCATCTGATGTGAATTGATAGCCACCATTTTGGTTTGTACATCGCACAGTTGCAGGATGCGGTAGCGCCAGATTCTCCTTGTAAGGACTTAGCGGCACAAATGAAGTCGTCAGTGAGATTTAAATACAACGTAAGATGCTATGTTTAGTACGGCAGTCAAGATTAAATTGGTCCCAACGATGACATTCACAAGGAGTAATTATTACCCGTTTTTTTTTTTGTTTTCCCCGCAATTATTCGTTTTTTAAAATCCTGTACATAATCACTGGTAAAGCGTATTTTTGCCGACTACTGATCCGACGATAGAAAATAAAATATAATAAAAGACGAGGGTATTTTTAAGGTTTTTTTGGAAGGCACCCATAATGGACACGCATTCAGGTTGTGTGTAACGGCTTTGGCAAGAAAATTATCGCTTATTATTTTCGTACGATAAATCATTGTCAACCAAATACGCACGATATTTACAAAAGTAATTTCTTGACAAGTAACCACTCGTAAATTATTTTTGGGACAGATGGTGGTGTAATTAATGTTGACAGCAGGCGGAGAGCGCCGGCTTTTTAAAACTTTTGAGGAGACAATTCGAGTTAAGTATTTACCACGCGTACAGGATTGCATTTAAAGGTGTCTACTGATCAGCCGATATATTGTAGAGAATAACGCACAATCTTAATGTAAAAACTGGCATTGGCTTGATTTCATGATTCCCACACAAATTGAGGCAATGACACTTCTGAGTCTATCTAACCATCCATTACGAGAATACTTTTGCCGAAAGCAAAATGAAAGCAAACAAGAGAAAAATGTAACCGGTACACTGAAAATAGACGGGATGTCGAAATCATGAACTGGGCGACATACGTGTTACCTTCCATTGTAACACATTCCAAACTATTCTCACTTAATTCCAAAACTGTTCATCGACAGAGCCTTAATAACTGCACCAAATGATGCAATGGTCACATCAGAGTCCGTTGCGGATGGCGTCCAGGCGCCTCAAAAAATGAGTTGAATTTAGAGTTAAGAATTGACACCCACAGATGGTGATGGATGAGCGATAATTACGATCGATTGGGCGGAAGAACTTCTTCATCGGCAATCCGACCACGTAATTTTAGAGCTCCTAAAAGGGCGCTCATAAAGCTATGTGACGTGTAGACCCGTGGAGATACTCAATGCTATACTGAAGGATACGGAGATTGGTTCCTGCAATAGTACGCTTCTTTAATGTGGTAATTAGTTTTCGAGTGAAAAATTACGTATTTCTTCTCCAGACACGAATAGCATTCAATTTTTAATATTTTACTACAAATTAGGACCGGATTGCAGATGGTTCGCTTCATATCGAAGCTTGAGAACCAATTATACTCATAGAATCTGAAATCGAGATGGTTGTCAAAATTTCATTAGAACCCAAAAGTTTCTTGGAAACATTCAAAATAAACACCAGCAGGACTGCGATTACCGCTGCAGAAATTTTTTTCCAGGGGCCATACTTTCAAAACTCGCTAAGTGAACGTAAGTACCGGTACTTACGCTCTATTTTCTTGTCTATGATTGGTGGATTTTGCTTGGAAGGCCGTCAATGATTGGCTGACGAACTTACGATTTCTTAACTTTGTTTGAAAGTATAGGCCCAGGACAGTAAACCATGCATGCATGGCCGTACATACCTCACCAGACAAATGAAGCTTATGCAACGCTTAATCAACCTTGATTTAAAGAAACAACACTTGATTCAACTTTTAATCCCACGTCAGTTGTCCGGTGGTCAGGCAGCATCGCCGAGCTCCGCAGCTGCGCATGCGCAGTGGCGCGTAACTATCGGCCGCGGCGGTTGACGCTCAATACGGCGCCAAGGAAGGCTTATCGCAAGGACCATCCAACGATGGCGACGTTAAATGCCAACCAACACAAACAATTAATAGCAGAGTTCGAGATAGTGCATGAAAGGTTAATAGAATGCAACCAATTAAAAACTTTCGTCTCCAGTCAAGCTTGAAGGTGCCGCTAACGTACGTGGTTTGGNACATCCACCAAGGAAGCTGACATTCAGAGATGTGTATAAGAGACAGATACCTATGTCGTCGGAATATAATCACACACTCTAAAACCGATCAAAAATACGAAAGAGCCTTTCGATACTTAGGGAAGATACTACTATCATAAATCATCATAATCAGTCGCATAGTTTAACTGTATGATTCGTGTGGGGAAAGTGCACAAGTACAAAAGCTGAAACTAATAACCCAACTTACCACGAACACAGGAGGGAGTGGAGGAGTCCTATCATGCAAACCTTCCATACTCGCAATATTTACAGTCTGTTCCCGAGACCATCAAGCCAACCTAACGTGCCCGAATTGTACTCACATAACAATAAAACTGGGCTCGATCTCAACGAAACCACATTGGGCTACAGCGAATTTATGGCCGCCTGCTTAGCCTGTATGAATCTGATGAGCAAACAAACGGAGCCACGCGAGCTCTCGTAAACCGCTTGTGGCCCTCGGGTCAACAAACACAGCTGCAGGCCGTACTACATCCTTCAACAACCTTACTATCCTGGACCTTCTATAAAGGATCTAACCCTGCATCCTTAGCTCTTATACTCAACCGAACCTCCCGTAACGAACCTAACCCAGCGTATCATAGCTCTTATAATCAAGCAAACCATCTATAACGAATCTAAACTCATATCCATTAATAATTACACTCAACCGAACAGTCTATAAAAAACGTAATTCTGCGTCATCAAACTACCATACACAAAAGAAACGTTAACAACGAATCCAACCCTGCGTCCCATAACTACTACCGGTATGTACAGTACACTGTATAGTTTAGTTGTACGCTCAACGTGAACAAATTATGCTGCAAAACGACAGAGCAAATGCAACAAGTGGTAAGTCATGAATATATTTTCGGACTTCAATGTAATAAGAGAAGCTCATCAATTAATTCTAAGCTCCTTTTGGCACATCTTGCAACAGGTCGACAAACTTAGTCAACAGTTCGGGGGTCTATGATATGAAACGTTTCTTCTCAAGATAATTTTTTTAAAAACTCAGCGCCCACAAATTACTTTTATAACGGGACCCCGACTGATCAAGAGAGGATTTAGTTTCCAGTCATCCACAGGAACGTTTCTCAAGCTGGCACAAAAAAAGGCTTGGAATTGACCTCTGCCCTATAAAAATGCCGATTACGTTTTTTGCGATGATTATGACTAATGCATAACATTGCAGCCGCGCCAATAAGAAACAGTATAGTAAGAAATACAAACAACTGTGCAATAAAAATCGTTATAGTTATGAATATCCCATTCAACACGTCAGAGCTTTAATAATGTTAAAAATGCTAACGAGTACTTCTTCGTAGAATAAAAAAAGGGATCCTTTACCTACGTCAGTCTAAGAGGCGCATCAATATTTATAGGATATTCAGGAAAAGAAATCACTAATATAATTTATTTACTATCTAATACTTGTGCAATGTGCATGCACAGCGGGAAATCGACTTACCGTGAATTTGAAATGATAGATCCTCAATTTTCGTCGGTCTGTTGAGGACCAATCGAAAGTTCGCCGCTGCTAAGTGCAGACGAAACAGATCCTATAATCCTGAATAGACTATAATCCTAAATAGAATAAACGACAGCACGGTACTCCCATACAGAACCTTAACAGAGATCAGCCTGAGAGGTGCTTTTGACACCTATAGTATCCTCGATACATGTTTAGGACACCATAAGTCTTTAATCCATATATATAAGAAAAACTCGCATACATGCATGTGAGGAGACACAGCAGAACACTTACCATGAATATCGAAGGGCACGTATTCACAGGAATCCTGTCGCTCAGTTGAGCACTTGAGTACAGCACCGCCCCTGTGCACCCCTGTTTGGTTGAAGGATGTATCGTAGCTCGGTGCTCCCACAAGCAAACTGAAGGAAATAACAACAATAAATTAATATTAATCTTGCCATAATTCAAAATACAAAACAGATTCTATTCTATTAGAAAAAGGCAGAAAACATGGTTTGTACCTTAACAAAATTTAGAGTCGCCCCAGCTCTGGTAATCCAAATAAGAAGCTGCCGCGACTGTAAATTTTCACCGGGTATTCTGATCAATTAAGGCCACAACACCTTGTAATGAGGCTAATTATTGAGTTGATATAAAACACTCATCCAATTATATATTTTAGCTTGTTTCAAAACCAACAATCGTTTTCAAATTGCTAAAATATCAAATTAAAAGCTTGAAAAAAAACTCCTGAAATTTTTCATTTGCGTCCGGGAAAGCAACAGTTATTATAAAAAACTGCAGTTCTCTGGAGGGCAAACATAGCCATCTTGAGGGCAGTGGTATGAACATTATCAGCTCACCGCCGTAACCAAGAAGTAGGATAAAACCTAAGAAAGAAGCATAGACCATATATACACTCGCTACTTGGTGGATTTATTGTAGGATGCTCGGAAATATCCCTTGCATGCCAATATTGACCGCATAAGTCGGGAAAATATTTGACAACGATGCAAATTTCTTCAATAATTTCAAGAAAACTTGCAGCTACCATTTAATAAAGTAAGGAAAAACGAATGACCACGGGAGTATGCCTGCAATAGGAAGTGTAGTTATTCTTTTAAACGGCGTTAATGTAACAAATGTGCAGTTGCGAACTGCATAGAACCAAATATCCCATTTGAATTTCAAAACAAACTCAGAGCTTTTGCGGATCATTTGTATGAACTTGAGTTAAAAAAAGCCGCACCATGCGAGAAACTACGGCAACTCATCAATGTCCGAACAAATGAATATTCATGCCTTGTTTTCACAACGAATTTCTGCCAAAACAAAGAACCGCTGTTCTATTTTCAGTTGCTGTTTGCGAGGAATTAGTTATGACAAAATAGCGGGTATCCCGACATTACGGTAGTAACTGTATTGCGGACCGGAACTTACTAGGGACGAGTTATTTTAGGTATTAAGGGTTGTTGACTTTACGCTCCCATCTTCGTCGGAAGTCTCCTTCTGATCGATATCTTATTTGTACATGCTGATTGCTGCTGCTCTAATGAAGTATTATGTGGGAGTGCGTCATCTGTCTCCCCTATGGATGTGCCAAAACTGATGTGGAGAACCCAAATGAAGTACTACACTGCTCGTAAAAATTTACTTGACTTAAAAAATTTCCTTATCCAAACCCATAATATAGTACAGAAAAAGGGCATTGTATACACAAAAGGGTGCCACAAAACCACCCGCACTATCACGGTAAGGCTAAAGATGGATATCAGCACTCAGGAACGCTAAAATAACAGGCCTATATACATGAACCGCGTTAAGCTCGCAAGCTGATGCGGCTTTCAGGTCGGTCGCAGATAAACTGTGCTTTCTTTGGTATAGAATATCGTCTCTAGCGTGACCAGCGCATACAATTAGGCCTCTCAAATGAGGCTAACAGTCAACACATTCTTTACGTGATAATAACAGGCTCATTCACTTTCATAATACACCAGTGTATTCATGCTTTGTTTCGATAACAGAAGAAGCAAAAAATATTTTCTTGTTCGTAAGCCGAGTGTTGTGAACTAACAACGATCTTTCCATAGAACAATGATAGTTGCGGTAAGACCTTCCCACAGCTTAACTTAAAAGCTAGTTAACAACTGAGCTTGAATAAGAGCATCTCAATTTACGTGGATATGCTAGAGCAGTGGACAATTAATTGGCTAATTGAACTTCGGTGCAAGACAAGCAAGGCAAGGGCTTGGCCGGCTGAAGTATTTGCGTCATCAGGGAAGACTAGACCTTCCCGTTCATCGATTTGACAATGTATTAACTGCAAATTAGGATAGGCTGACAGAAAAATGGAACTGTGAACGATAGATTTCGCAAAATTTCATAGGTACGACAAATATTGTTCAGGATCGGAGTTAATGGCACAGATGTTTTTACAGATAAAGTTCCAACTATTTTTTAGCTCAGATAGACTGTTCTCGAGATGGACCAGCACCGAAGAAAAACAACAATCCACACATCAGCGGCCAGAAACCGCAGCAGCCATCAATAACCATTAGAGAGATGACAGCCTGCACTAACGAGCCCTTCACAAATCACAAACATCTGAGTTGGTTATTAGTGTCAGTTAGGTTATTAGTGTCAGTGACGCCGTCAACAACCAGAGGCGCTCGTCATGTCAGCGGCTGTAGGTTGCAGTGCACGATTGTGCTTTTTGACAAAGACTACAATATTCAGCAGTGCAGTGAATCGTTCGAAAAACATGAACGTGAAATATTAAAGAAGACAAGTGGCCAAAGCTTTTGTCTTAAATGTTAAATGACAAAGCCACAATGTCTTCCTAGGTCTAAACGGGATATTCCGATAAATCTGAAAACCCCAATTTAAAATCGGACGAGCAAAAGTTTGTTCAAAATAATACAGTACAAAATTTTTACGCGGCATCCTACTCGGCGTAAATCATAATTTTACGATCATCGCAACATTCACACAGGTAGTCACTACTGACAGAAGTAAGCTCGGCCAAGATAACCAAAGAAATCAAGAAGCACACAGGATCCTCCGCCTCAACAGGACGCGCTAAGCGATGCGTTTAAAAGGCTGCAAATGAACAATCACGAAGAGGCATCCGCACTTCATGAAGCCTTGCGGTTTGCGGAGATACAAATGATGGGCAGCACAGCGTGCCAGCCACACAAGGCTGTTAAGAATAGAATAGAATAGAATAGAAGTGTCGGCGTTGAAGACATATAGGCCCATGGCCTGTTGCCGATTCTTGAACTTTTCGTGACTTGATTCACAAGGGAAGTTTCTAAATCTAGGAACTCGAAAGAGCGTCTGATCAGTCCAAGTCGTTGATTGGCTTTATTAACTTGACCTTCAATATGCTTAGAAAATTTGTTTTCATCAAGTTCTTGTTTTCATCAGTTCTTGATGAAAACAAAGCGAAGCGTCTTACGGCAGGCAACGATCTGCTAAACTAACATAATACGCTAATGTGAAGTGTAAACAGTCAGAACACGCCCCTCATGATGGTCTATGTGCGCTTCTCATAATAGTAGTTTTACGCTCCTCATCACAGTAACATGCTCGTCTCTATGACCGTGAAACGCTCCTCTATTAGGAGAGTCGTAACACCTTACTCAGAACTGGCTCTTCAGAACGAATACAACACACAGACTACCGTGCAATACTCTTTGCACAGTAACACGTCCTTGAAAACAACCATAAAACGAGCAACACCAATAACAAAAACAATTAAACGAGCATTGAAATGTCGTGTAGTTCTCTTTGGAACAGCCGTAACGATTTTAGAACGCTTTTAGAGGCAGCCGCAGGGTTTCCTGCAAATGTATGAAACCGTTTTAGTTCTCAGAACGGCTAAACTACGATTCAGGAAAAGGCCAATTTATTTTACAAAACTCCACGCGAGAAAGTTATCAACTGTGATTACTCGTGCATGATAGGCGTCGAGAGGGCGGCTTGAGCATGACCTTGGGTGGTGCCACACAAACGAATTCAAGGTACGTGTTACCTCGGGGCATCTTAGTCGAGCGCGTACTTAAAAAAACAAATATCAATAACCTGAGCGCAATCGGCTTCACAGTCGTTTAAGTCAAAGCCCTCTTGATTAATTTTTTTTCTTCATCGTCATCAGCGGACGCAGTTTCGTCGGTAGAATCGGCACGGCGGTGTAGCTTGACCGTAGCACGTACGTAATGCGACGACACGTCTGGCTCAGCGCTCTGACCTCTAACCTGTCACGCTGTCTGCATGCGTTCACGTCAACGAAACGCTCAAGTCTTGCATCGATCAGGCATTGCCAGTTGCTTCCGATCTTTTTCAATTGAAAAGCCTACTTATTAAATTTATTGGAGGAAATATAATTGAAAACTAAGGACGTCAGTAGCTATCAAATCTTACTCTGATTGCAGATTTAACATTGAACAATTACAAACGAATTTCAATGTTTGAGGCAAAGACGAATGAATAACTAGAGAATTTTTCTTGGACCAAATTTGTCGGCCTATACAAACAAACTCTAAGGAGAAAAAGATCTTGACTCCAGCTGAAATAATACTGATCCTATTACATGATAACCGTTCGCACTCAAATAAATCAGTGAGATATCAATTTTCAACATATTTTACGGCCTAACATAGAAATAATCCAAACTGCAATTAAGGTAACCTTATAGCTGAGAACGATTGCATTTTAGCAGCCAACAATAATTTATAAATTTCAATTCGAAGTCTACTGAAGACTAGATTGAACTCAAAGGAAGCGCACGTTCATTTAAAATTCAGGGCGCCGATCATCCGTTGAGCTACAAATGCACGCAAAATCGTCTCCCTCCCCTGAAGCATCGTCACTTCCCTCCACGTCTGCCTCCCCTGAAGCATAGTCACTTCCCTCCACGTCTGCCTCCCCTGAAGCATCGTCACTTCCCTCCACGTCTGCCTCCCCTGAAGCATCGTCACTTCCCTCCACGTCTCACTCGCTTGAAGCATCGTCACTTCCCTCCACTTCTGCCTCCCCTCAAGCATCGTCACTTCCCTCCACGTCTCACTCGCTTCAATCCCTCCCCTCCATTTCCGTCGCCGCTAGCACGCGTCTTCCGTCGCTAGTCTAGTCAAGGTGTTAAGAAGCCATGGCGTTAAAGTGATCCAAAAATGGCAGGGATCAAGTCGATCAGTGCAACGTTGTTATTCTAAAATCATCATAAATGAAACATGTTCATAAAATGTTTCCATCACGACCAGCGACATATGATGTATTTCTACTATAACAAAGGAAAATAAAAACAAGGTTTTAAGTATACAAGAGGTTGGTAGAGAAACATATTGTGGATCACGACGGTCGGCATAATGAAAGGTTACTCAGCAAGTCAAAGGTGATACTTTCAGCGTGACCTGCGAGGCAAGGAAAAAAATAACCCTGCAATAAACTAAGTAGAGGGTTGACTTTAATGAGCTCCTAACTACAGTAGATTGCAGAAAAAAATGCACAAAGTTTATTGTACCGTAAAACGTCCAGGTTGCGGCGCAGTGGTCAATACTTATATATAAGGGCAATAAGTATGGAACCACAAGAAATAAGGCTGGTTTTGCGTCGATAAAGCAGCGACGATTAACATCTAATTTGGAAAAAAATCTTTTAGATTTAACCAAACATCGATATTTCTTTCAGAGAATTATTTCTGTCTATGCTTCAACATGTGATACATATTGGAATTAGGTTTCATTTAAAATATAATTATTAAATTGTGTTTAATTAATCAATCTGCTCCCGATTTAAACATGATCGATGATAAAAATTATCGTTAGAAGCGTCATTTATTTTTCTCGAAGAATTTTACTCGTCTGTTTAATTTACAATTTTCAATCTAAAGGAATCTTTGGAAAATTACGCTCACAATATAACGGGACATATCACCTGAAACGCAAGTGATCGAATTTATCGCCAATAAATCGAAGACGGAATGCCCTGCATATTTGACTGGGTAGCGATTCGATGCAAATTCATATTATAATCCTGTAATTTACTTTGAATTGCCCAATACTCAACTAACGAGGAAAAACATCTTTCATAGAATTCTTAGTCAAAATTTCGAGATACACCAAAGTGAAACAATCGTGAGTGAAGATGTGGTTGAGCGCCGCATTCATAGCCTTTCTTGTTTACCGGAGTTCTCATTTCTCAGAATAAAGGGAACTGTAGGAGCTAAGAGGCGGATGTGGTGCTCATAAGACATACTCTCAGACCGAGGTAGCGCATCGAAAGGCCACAGCGTTTTAATGCTGCAATTAAGCCGCCATGAATTTGAGGTACACGGGAAAGAAACTTCCTTGCCAGCAACTAAAACAAAACAAGTGATGACTGAGAATCGTAATTACGTACGGCATTCGTGTGAAAAACATTCGACAAGTGAACATTTCTCGATGAGTCAAAGTCATCATGCAGTGATCACCAATCATTTAAATCTGTGAAGAAATTAGAAAAATTCAATACTCAATTGCTATTCGGTAGGTTTCGGTGCGTCTAGGTCCGAATAAATCAATGGCATACCGGAGTATAGCAGCCAGTATATGTTATCCGGTCGAATTGCACGGCATCAGATGGACTGCTTTTGACGTTTTTAGCGCCAGTTCCGCCCAGCCTCACCCGAGGCATGTTCAGGTATGGCTTAGCCAAAGCCGGTCTGCTGCACAGTAGCGGGATCATTGAGAAGCAATTACGAGCTGGCTCCAGGCGCGGTAATGAGGCAGGGAAGCGTTTGTTTTTGCCCAAAACTCCGACAGGAAAACGACTTTGGATAACATCAGAAGCCAGACATGCGTCCGATACGCATGCATGGATACATCCACCAAGGAAGCTGACATTCAGTAACCGTATCTGATAAGGGTGGTATATTTCTGTAAGCTGGCGTGGGCATGGATTGGAAGCTATGAGTTGTTCGAAGAATTTGCATTTGGATCCCTGATCTACTATGAATAAATCTTTAAAATTTTATGAAGGACTAATTCGACTCCACTCAACATGAAATACCCAAATATCATTATACCTAAATCGTATATATCAAATACCCAAATCGTAAATATCATTCCATGAATTTTGTCTAAGAACGATTGGAGATTGTAAATTTTAAAGACAGTTGTAAGAACAAAATGATGGAGAACCGGAGCACCTACGTTTCATTTCAACGGTAGTGGAGCTTACCTACATAAAAACTAAACTCGATTCAAGTCCATCTCAAATCCGCAGGCAACGCCTGAGTTCGATGCAGCTTCTGAATAAAATTAGCATAACTTGACATTGAAACATAACTGAGGAATCCTGCACGTATTCATAGTATTGGATACAATAGAAAATTTGCTATTTATTCCACCCTAGTCCCCGACACAGGTAATCATCTATAGACGCCTCATTCACTGATGATCTGCAATGCTTTAAATGACGGCATGTCAAGAAACTGTGCATATCGTAAATTGTCATAAAGACGATATAACAATAGGTTACGAGGAAGAGTCGCACGCTCCATGGCGGTGTCGTAATAATCCCACGCTGATGATTCAAGTTATTTTGCTACGTCATTAGTGAAATGCTGACGAGAGCTGCTCCTAAAGTGTTTTGGGGTGTGCGGCCCGTGACCGCTTACGAGGCAGGAACACGGAGCTTGTCCAGGACAAACACATCATCCGGCATCGCTCAGCTCTGCCCTGGAGGGAAATCTTAACGACACGTCGCACGATGGACACTCGAGACGCGTGAGGCCAAGACTTGAGATGCGTGATTGTAGGATTTGCGTCGCCCGATGCCAGGGCTAACGACGGGTGATGCCAGGAAATACGACGAATGATACCTGGACTTTCGACGGTTGATACCAGTAAATACAATGTGTGATACCAAAAAATGCAATGCGCGTGCTATTACTAGCGACGTCTGATAGCTCAACAAACGATCTGTCATACCATGACGTTAAACGCGTTTAAGGCATGCAACCTGCGAAGGCAGGATTAACGGCGTTTGGTGCCAGAGCTTACTAAGAGTGATGGCTGGACTTAATACGAGAGATGTCAAGATTTGCGACACCTAATGCCAGAATAAAGATGCGTAATGCGAGAATTACGACATATAATGCCAGAATAAAGATGCGTAATGCGAGAATTACGAATTACGACATATAATGCAAGAATTACGTAATTTAATTCGAGAATAATGACGTTTAATGCGAGAATGCGTGTTGTGTGAATAGTGAGGCGTAGTGCGAGGGAACGATGATTACGACTAGCGATGCGAAGACTACGACGAACGATTCGTGGGTTACGCCGCGAGAATATCGGCGTGTGATGCGATAACTGCATGGCGCGATGAGAGGATTAGGTTAGGACATGTGATGCGTGGATTACGACGCCTGATGTATAGATTGCATTTTACGATGCCAGGATAACGACACGTGATACGAAGATTACAACACGTGACGTGCGGATTACGACACGTGATGCGTGGATTACGACGCCGATTGCATGGATTGCATTAATTTATTTTTTTCAATGTCAAGATAACGACACGTGATGCCTGGATTACGTCATGTCATACGAAGATTCAATGCCTAATGTATAAATGGATTGCAACTGAAAACGATCATCCCCACTTGAATATTTTATTGCATTTTGGGACAATGTAGCATAGATCTACTTATACGGCTAGCATGGAGCTACGTACACGTTGGGTTCGAATAACTCCTGTAGTCCTGTAACTGTAAGTAGCATAGTTCAAACTTAGCATCATTAACAATGCTTCAAGTCAACCTTTTATAAGAACTACCGCAAGCATGTTCATTTGCATGGCAATGAACAACACTGCATGGGAATACAGGTTAATTGCAACCTTATGATATGAATGGTAATGGACGTCATCCAATCATAGCAATCGACTTCCTGTGAGTGTAGCAGCGTTACATGAACGGAATATCAATCGTAATTATGGAGATCACGACGAGCAACAGGGCGCGGGATGACCACAATAGCGTGAGAACACCACTCCCAGATGCACTGATGCATGCATGTCTCGCCAGCACAAGTCGGCGCTCTGAGAGTGAGACTCGCCGGAGAACCACTAAAATGTTTGCTAGTTGTAAAAATAAATGACCGTAACAGGAACCTTGAAGTATATAGATGAATGAATGAATGTATAGATAAGTTGTTACCTATGTTGTGGCTTCGAGAAATGTGAAATAGGTAACGGAGAATGTAATTTCATTGAGGCATAAATTGAATCTGTACACATACAGAGGCAGAGTTTGAACGCTGTGCGTCGAGCTACCTGGATCATACATGGTCAAAGTCATAACTACTCGATCTGACTGAATTAGTTCATGATGAAGAGTAGCGCCAAAAATTAAGCAAGTTCAATATACTCGTTAGAATAGGTAGAATATGTGGCAAAGTGCCAGGACTGTAGTAAGCCAGCGCAGCATTTTGCAAGATATTTTTTCTATATTGGTTGGGAGATATTTTTTCAGATTGGTTGGGATGTCGCACTGCTATCAATCCAAACCAGCTGCCCAAGTCTTGTCATTTTCAACCAAGTGTTAATTTATTGGTAAAAGTGCAGATGGAGTTTTTGTAGTTTGATTTACTCTCAATGATGGGCAGGAAGACTGAGAGCGAAAAATAATGAAAAATTAATAGCAGTTTTCCAACATTTGCTCCAGCGCACTAGAGATTTTCTCGGCCGGCCACAGCATGATACCTACACGTAATTTTATAATTTTTTACTTGTGCTGATATTTCTCTTATGGAAATTTTCATTGTACTGGCAGGAAGAGATATATGTTAAGTTAGGGAGAGGTTTACTACTAAAAAAATCTGGCGTATAATTTCTACTCCAGAGTACCTATTTCAACTCGGCTCACCGTTTGACTCCGTTGCTATCGCTGTGCAGCGCGACTGCGAAACCGAACATTGACTCGGGCTGGTCGCTCGTGTGTCGAATTCTTGAAGGCAGATCAACGTTGAAGGCAGCACATTGCCATATACAAGATAACGCCACTAAAAGAAATTGCATGCATCCCTTGGGATCCTGGACCGTGAGAATTCCCATCATAAATGAAGTATGGGTCAGCTATTTTAATTTTACGCGACGCAAGTACACTAAGCAGATCCGAAGAGCAGGTCTTGAGTCCGTCTCGTCTCGAGATTCAGTTCTATTACGTCCAGAAATTTGCGAGACGTTCGTGAACCCACGTGATTATTAACTGCTAGCTTTATAGCATGACACACAACACAAATGAATTTTTTTGACTTTAGATCCAAAAGAAGATGATAAAAAGATCGCTTGGAAATTCCACTTCATACTGGAACCATTTCAACTTCAAGTACTCTAGTAGCAGAAGTCTTTCGTCAAGACTACCTACACTACGCGATCACCAGTTATTCAGCATCGAGGTCACGCGCGCGCACACCCTCACTCTACTGCGCCAAACTCCATACTGCCAAATGATTAGGCTGGCAGTTGAGGCTTCTATGTTCTAGCAGAGGGAGGCTGTCAGGCTGACACAAATTTGGTAGAAGAAGGCCAGTAACATCGATGTCTGTCATCAAAACTGGTTTTAAAAATTACTCCTCGTAAAGTTGTCGCTAGATATTTAGGAATGTAATCCAGTAACTGAACTTTAAATTACCGGGTTTGAGCATACTTTCTCAAGCATTCATACCGATCGCAGAGAATGAGAAACATAAACCACGTCCTAAAGTAAACTAAGAAGGCATCGTCCGATTTTGAAACGCCTGCAAAGAAACAAAGTTCTTCCAAACATTCATGGTAGAAAATATAGAAACATATTAGAAGGTGTAATTAATTGAAAAATCAACATCAACTAAGCAAGGCTGTGAAAATGGTATTTAGCTTAACCGCAAGTTTCTTATATTTTACAAAATTACTAAAAAAGGGAATTTTTACCCCAATTTTGTCGGCTTACTTCTGCATGGTGCGAATAGAATATATTTTTACGTTAAATTAATATACATTTAATTTAAAACGCTTCACTTCATATCCATTGAAATTTATAAATTCTTTCAGCATCAGACTGGTAAATTAATTCATCTCGGACAATCCTCCCTTTTAAATAATTATTTGAGATTGAAAAACTTTGTACACGATATTTGAAGTTGAATTTAGATCTCGGCATGAAGAGCACGATGTACAGCAGTGCTTCCAAAACTTTTTTGTCCCTCGCAAATAAATTTAGATTTTATAACATAACATAACATAGTGATCTCGGCGCTGCAGTGTATGCTTGATGTGGCCTGTCACCGATTCTTTTCCTTTTCGTGCCTTGTTCACAGAAGATCTAAAACCGTGTCATTTGACCGGATCTTTTCACGACTGACGAAAGTTTGAAATAGCTACTCGACTTACACCGGGTTCGATATGGTGCTAGGCATTTCAAATCTGAACTTATATTTTTCCATAGTTTTATCTAGTCTGTTCTTGAACGCGTTCGTTCGATATCATCGGGGAGGCTGTGATTGTTTATGATACCAAAACAGAAAATCCCATTAGGTCAAAATGATTCAATATCTAAAACATCAAAAATATAAAGTTACTGAAGCGAAAATATAATCTTGATGCGCTTCCATCAATTGAGAAGAAAACAAGCAGATAGCTATAAATTCAATAAACAAGAAATAAAAGCGATTCATCAGCAATCTTCTTGAAAAAATTCAAAACAGAAATTATCACTGCGCAACTTCCCAACTGTTTAGCACTGCGCAACTTCCCAACACTTAATTGGCTGCTGCACTGAAACTGTCACTTAAAATCGTGTCCAGCTGGAACCTGTATTTTGGATTCAAAATTTCCACTGCTGAGGAGCTTTCTCACAGAGATACGATGTGGGAGTAAGGATGTCTGCCAAATAGTTGAAAACTTCCATTCCACTTTGAAACAAAAACCCACTTAATAAATGCACGTTAAAGTCAGGCCTCATGGTAGAAGACGACATATCTAAATAAGGTTTACTTCAACGCGGCTAACATTACCCGGTAGCCTCGATGGAATAAAAATATGATAAATTTAAATTTAATAATCATAGTGAATTCATTCTCTCACTGTAATTGTCGTCCACATTCGGGATAATCGTTCCAGCATCGCTTCTTACTTGATTGATTAGAAAATGTTTCTGCGTTTATCATTGAGATTTCCTCCCAAAACATTCATTCGATTGTTTAACATTATTCAGCATGGCAAAAGAAGCAACAGACAGGGAAGATCAGAGTTGGAGTTTAAAACTAATTGCAAATATGTAGCAGCGTGCTTCAAGGGAGCATACGTTCAAATCCGATAAATATTCAATTGTTCTCTATCGATGTAGTTCGGTATAAATGAATAGAAACCCATAACACCATGTAACAATTTTCCAAAACATTCCGTTTCCAGCAGTTAATTATACCTTAAATGAAACGAAAAGTTATTTCCCGTAAACTTTTCTTCAGTGGTCGGCACAATGTGATTTTTAAATTGATCATTTATACTTTATAGGGATAATCGCGGTATTTGATATTTCAGAAGCTAAAAAGCAATTGTAGCTTCTAATAACAGTTTTAAGAATTACCCCGAATTATGCAAAATTTTCTGGGAATGTACAAAATTGTAGGTATCAGTATAACTATAGTTAAATAAGGCATCTATAGCCCTCCTAGATAGTGATGATTAAACTCATGCGAGGAATTATTATGGATTTCTACGTCACTTCTTTTTCGATTACAACAAAAAAAAATTCATACGCAACAGCTCACAAGTCCCTCAGTTTTGAACGGATGTGCAGGAAATTTATAACGTATCTAATTAATAGCCAGACTCCGTGGTAAGAATCGACGCAAAATTTTGCGTTGCTTCGTTTTCATTTTTAAACTAGGGTCAGTAATATTCGTGACTAATTACCACAGGGCACAAGCTAGTGACCTCGTGTATACTGCCTGCTTCAGGGGTCAATAGGGAGCAGCGGCCAGTAGCTGCCCGTTGTAAGCCTATAGCTGCTTTCAGCCAGCAAGTTTTTACGAAATATCTGTCAGGGAAACAATTATACTACTTTTTTTAACAATCCATGGTGGAAAATAAAATGACCCAGAGGTCAAAAAAGCAAGTTCAGAAAGCGTTAGGTTATGAGTTTTCCCTTGGTTAGGTCAAATTACTCTCATCCGCGGTAGCTACAGGCAGTGAAGGCATTGCTTTTCTTGGGTATAAACTTTGGCTAACCGACAGCAAAACTTATGCCGCATACGTCTAATATTCTCCTGTAAGTATGAATTCAATATTCACCAAAAATTCAATGCAGCCTCATTCTATGAAGTGAAATTCGATGAAGCCTCATCTTCATTGCAGATATTCTCCAATTTGTCTAATGCTACATCAGAGTCTGTTTAGACCGGCATTATATTTCTAAGCCATTGAGCTAACCAGCGCCGGCACGTAAAAGATGTCTACTCACGCCCGTCGCCCAGTATGTTGCTATCATTGAACTTGTGAATATTGCCACAAAGTTTACGACGACAATTGGTTTGGTTAATACCTAGGCCATCATGGTTCTCACCTGTTCTTTACTCCTCAAAATATTTCTAGTCATCACTTCTGATTCGTGGCATCTTGCAGGGTTTGAGGAAGCCCATCCACATTCTACTAAGTGAGTGGTTGACCGATCGACACTACGTAAACGACTTACGATGAATTATTATTAAGCGTACAGATCTCGTACGTTTCTCGTCGCGCGCGATTAAAAGCTCAAGAGCAACATAATTCAATGAATATGCATTCACACATCGACGACATTATTCGCTCATCATACCTCACCCATACCAAAGGGAATTCTGATTGATCAGGCAAGATCAGCGATCATTTGTGGAGCTGCAAACAAATCGCTCTGATACAGAATCGTGAGCTTTGGTTAAGTGCTTCTTGCCTGACATTTAAACTCTTCATTGATTAACCTTTGCCTAATTTTGAGGCATATATATCAAAATATGGCAGTCATGCCCGCCTTTCCCAAAAATTCAAATGAACTTCTTGACGCAAGAGACGGCGGACTCAATTTAAAACCGTGCTCAGGAATCTTTGTTTGGAGTCCTTAGGAACTTATTAGTGAGACGGGTAGATGAGGCAGGTATAGCTACCAGCTTCCTTCTAAAGGGTTTCCAATATTAGTTTACACGAGTATGGTTCCAACTCCTTTCAAGTACTGATCAAGACTCAAGGCGCTTTTGACTTTGAGCGGTGCAGAACTGATCAGGCTTACGATGTTCCAGCGTAGTCTACGGCTTCTAACTTTGAAGTATAGTTATTGCCAGCGCTGGTTGGGCTTTGGCATCAGGGCTCTCGTTTGATGTGCTGCAGATTGTCACCGAAATGACAATTTATCTGGGTCACGAGTAACACCATCTCGGTGTCGTGCTTCATCCCCAGTAGCAGGTTGCATTCCTTTAAGAATCACCAGGTTAACAGTTCTGAAATTGTGTCGAGGTTATCAGTTCCATCAGCAACTATATGTACAATCCGATTCACGTAATACTAATGCGTCTACAAGAATATGTATCACTACTCGTGATGCACTAACAACTTTCCGATTTGTATCACTAACACCTTTCCGATTTCATTCTCAGCATGAATGAGTGCCTCCGTCACGGCTTGACTACTACCCAGTACTCGTCACAACTCACAATTTCCTTTACGTCTTCATTGTTACATAGAAGCAAAACTCGTCGTGGGGCCTCGTCTCCGCTGCTAATAGGATCTGATATGTCGACCTCCCTCTTCCAGTCTTAGATTTTTGAAGGAGCTTGGAGGTGTCTTGGTAAAAAAAAACTAATTTCTTGGCACATGAACTATTGTTCATTTGTGGGCAGAATCGTCTCATGAAACATTACGTACTGTTGAATTACTTTCAAAATGTTTTGTTTTTTGAGATATACCAAACAGTGAGGTTAGGTTGGGTAAACTTTAGAAATTTGCTTCAAAAATGCAAACAAAATTCTATGAGTAACGTGGAAGAAAAAAATCCAATGAGTTCAGACAATGAAAATTTAATTTAAGATTATCACAGTCTGCGTCAGCAACACCTTACCTCGTAATTCACGTTGATGCATAACTTATTAGAAAAATTCAAAGTGAGAGATCTGTCATAATTGTTTTTTATCGCCCCACTTGGAATTTATTTTTTCTATGAGGAGGTCCATGCGTGCGGACATCAGAGGTTGACCACGCTTCGTTTTCTGCGAGAAACATTTGTTACGTCTAAGCGCCTCTTCTTTCTTGGCTTTGAGTCGTGCTTGCTTCTCTTGCTGAAGGCGAGCTTGCTCTGCTTTTTGCTGCTGTCTTTCCGAGACATTCCTCTTGAACTCAAACTTCGCTCTCGTCAACTTGGAATATTTCCTGTAGAGAATACGTCCAGATATATCAGTCCCCCTCACAGTTCATATGACAATCAATATCTAGTTGCCACTTAGAACGCATCAAGCACGGTTTATTGGAATTAAAACAAGTAAATTTTAACAGCATGTCAACAATCTGTTATAGCTACGCACATTTATCAGTGCATATTGAAGGAGTAATGTAGCAAGAAGTAGAGCAAATGAAGTAAAGCAATCACAATAGAGGAACAAGTGTCATAATAAGAGCGAGTGCTGCTCTTGTTATGACACTGCTTCCTGCATGATGGCAGTACCCACATCATAATGCATAAAAAACGAGGTTTTGTGGCGTTCATACTTGCGTTTGTTTTGGTTGTCTTCATCCTGTTCTTCCTCCTTTTGCTCTGGGTCGTCTCGCACCATCGCGGGCAGGAACCGCAGCTCCGCTTCAGACACCTCCTGCTTCTCTGTGCCACGGACGAGCATCATTAGCAACTCGGAAATTGAATCACAACAAATCAGAGCTCAGAGCTGAAATATTCTACCTGCATTCAGATAACTAAATTATAATGGTTATGGTTAACTACTTAACTCGAAATTTTAGAAGGCTCTAATTGTATTAAAAGTCTCCGTTCAAATACAGTGTGAGGCTGCTGATTGTAGAAAAAATATAGGCAACTCAGTACTCACTGCAGTGAGAGACAGAGTGCGCATTTTCTCGTCGACGAAAACGTTAAGTCACGGACGGACAGACGGACGGACAGACGGACATGGCGAGCACAATAGTGCATTTTTTTCATAAATGAGAAAATGTGCTAAAAAGGCAAATTTAACCTTAAAGTTGGTAGACAAAGAAATTTGCAGAAATTCAATTACTATATAGTATGAGAAAATGCAATCAATTCTAAGAAGGTCTAAAGTACATTGATTACACTCAAAATATATGCCATTGTGAAATCTTCTATGAACAAATATTGCTCCAATATATATTGGATAATATATATATTCCAATATAAATATATATAAACTCCAATATATTCCAACATCATCAGTTAATGATAATAATTGAAGAAATTCAGTACATATATACTTCCTGGTAATAAAAAATTAGGAAATAGCATCCGCGTTTGGTGTCTGAGCCACCCGTCTGATGTTGGCAAGGCTGGTTATTGAATGATGGGAATATGATTTTAAAGGCAGATACAGTAGCCCCGAACACACGGCAGGAGATGTGGGGTTTAATTTTTTATTTATTATTATTTTTTGGAGGCTACAGAAAGTAACAATGTATGGTAACTTACCCTCAAAGAAATAAATCAGAACTGAAATTTTAAGACATCTTGGTAAAATTAGATTTAATACGGTACAAGTTAAATAAAAACGCTAGTAAAGTAAAAACTATTAACATTTTGAGCTAATTAAAACTTACCATTTCCATACTCTAAGTCAGAACACAAGCTAACCTGTTGCATAGTATTGCTGTTTTCTTTTTCTTAACTCTTCTTTATACTTTTGAAGCTCATACTTTTTCTTCAGAGCATCCTTTGCTATCAGAGCCTGGCCCCTTCCTGTTGGTAAAATGCAATTAGATGTTGAGTTCAAAAATACATTCTGTTGAATAGAAGTGAAACAAGGTTATTTGACTCTGACTAATCAAAGAATATTAATAAAATTGCAAATGAACAGCACAAGAAATTAAAGTCTTGAGGTAGATTAAAATTTATAATAGATGGAACAAGATGATATGTTCCACACAAAATTAACTATAAAATTTTAAATTAACCATCATAATCAGCATGCATAAATGATAGAATATATAACCATTTAATCACCTGCTTGGCGATTGCCATATGATGATTTGTAGGATGCCTTGATAGCAGCTTTCCGATCATATTTCTTGGGCGCCTCCATGTTGGTTCAAGTTGTAGCAATATGGCAGGCAGTGTTTGCACTGGATATTTATAACAGACCACTGCTTATTAACTGGCTCTTCTGGACAGTACCTAGTAAAGGAAAGCATACTGAAATGTGCAAATTAGTACCGTACTACATTAAGTTTTAAAACACATTTGAATATCTTGTTACTTGAATCACTCCATGCACAGAAATGTCATGGTACATAATGGCCACACTCAACAATATGAAGAATTTTGAAAAATTTTTGGCACAGAAGCAAATTCTTAACAGTTATCATAGTTCATGAAAGTTTTACAAATTGTCAAATAATACATCAGCCTAGAATTTGTGGAAAAATCTATGAGACCACTTACATCCAAAATTGAAAAAAAAAACATACAAAGACCAGCATATTGTAAGTGAAACATAATATCAAAGTGTGTTATTCTGCAGCCATTATTGTTAATTGATGCATCCATTTCCTGGTATAGGAACCCTACCATCACCCCTCATAATTAAAAGGTAATTCAAACAACAAATGCATTACCTAATTATTGAGAGACAGGGATTAATAAAGTTTGCTGAATTTGTGATTTTAAAAAGTATTAATTTTTTTAAAACACATGCTTCACCTTCACGTGAAAAAGATTATTCTCATTGTGAATTATTTCCAATAAAAGCAAAACCATCAACTGGGGTGACTTTGGCCACCGGGGGTGACTTTGGCCACACCTACAACAGAAACAAATGGCAGCAAAACAAAATAATAAACATTGACCAAAGTGACTGGGGAAACTTTGGCTACCGGGGTGACATTGGCCAACGTTTATTATTATTATTACTTTTTTTTGTTCTTTATAACAAAATAATGAATGTTGGCCAAAGTGACTGGGGAAACTTTGGCTACCGGGCTAACATTGGCCAACATTTATTATTTTGTTTAGCTGCCATTTGTTTCTGTTGTAAGTGTGACCAAAGTCACCCTAGTTGATGGTAGCAATTAAAGCCTGAACTTGAGAAACTTTTTGAGCACATGCAGTATTGATGGCAGACTGTAAAATGAAGCCTTTTAATCGAAATATTGACATCTTTCAAGCCTTCTATCAAGCCATCTCAACCAATGGTGGTGTCCTTGTGTAATGTGAAGTTTGATCAAAATTGAGAAATTTGCACTGAAAAGATGGGTATCTGTCAGCTACAACATTCTGTGTCTCTCACCCTCATGCTTTGGTCTATGACAATTTTTTCATTGCCCATATTGATTTTACATACTTAAATGGCAAAGTGTAGCAGGTAACCATTATTTGCCAAGACTGTAGGCTGATTTTATTGCCTTAAATACCTATGCCAAGCAGGATTGAGGCAGATGGAAATACATGCCATTTTTCTCAAATACACACCATTTGCCAATGGCAAATGATTGATATGAATGAAGTATGTTTCATTATCAATGCAGAATGTAGATATCAGTCTGTTTTGTGTTGGTCCATTAATCAACCACTTATGATCGAGATGACAACTAAGCTGAAAATTTTAGCAGAAGTCACCTGTGAATGAGATATAATGCTTGGGCTGGTAGACAATTTCACTACGTAGTTCCTATAGCCTACGACTAATTTTTCAAGGAAAATTTAAAAATTAGTTCATTTATGATTTTTGAAAATCACCTGAATCGTTTCTACTTCAATTTTTGGAAAATTCTCTACAGTAGTCCAGCCTGGACTAGTGATAGGTTAGTGAGGTAACTGAGGTTTCTGTTATATTGGAGGAGTTGCTGTTACTCTTTAGGCCTACAAGATTTCAGTGATTGCAGTATTAAGTAGGAAAATTCCAAACCTGTTCAGAATTTCACCAATATATTTAGTAGTGATATAAGAATTATGACTTTTTGCAGACCATCCATTTTGAGTCCTATAAGATGACCAGTATAATGGATACCAGGCTCAGCATAGCAACCAAGTTGGCAACAAACATCAAAATGCAGCAGGGTGGACCATAGCTCAGGAGAGATTTCAGACTTCTGAGCCTAGTTGAAAATAATGCGACTACAGACAGATTTGTATGCCTGTTAATGAACTCTGCAGATGGCTTAGGCTGCTAGTAGGAATTGACACTAATTCTGCAGGATGTACAAAATAAATAATGATTTAAAATCTAATTCTGCGGCACAATCCCATTAACATCGACACTCTTGCAAGAGGTTCTCTTATGCTTGTCATCACCACTCACGAAAGAGGTTCTCTTATGCATGTCATCTCTACTCAAAAACAAGCAACTCTTATAGGTACTTGCCATCTCTACTTGCACAAGAGGTTTTGTTACACTTGTACTCCTCCCTTTTTGTATGAGGTGCAGATAATTAATCTGTGGGAATAGTGAGTGAAGAATTCCGTTTTCAATGCTATGGTTACTACTGCTCATTGCATTGTAGTTCAGTTAAGTTACCTGTAAGATCACATGCCGCTGCTTTCCTCCGATGTTTAATCATAAGTCAAGTCTTTGTTTAACAGGGTAATAATTTGAATTAGCGTTAGTTTTCATGCATTGATGATGTTAACTGTGTCATTTTCATCTATAAAAACATAATTTGTGAGAGTATTAATTAAATAAATATCAATTATGTAAGGGATATGAATCTAATAAGAACATGGATTGTCCAATATGTTTAATCTAAATTTGAATGATAAGTCAATCAGTAAGACACATTTTTACTTACCTACTCTAGAAATTTCTAATAAAATAATTTTATTTATTGCAATTCAGTTGCTTAGAAAACTGAATACTATTTTTTTAGGTTTCCAGACACAACTTTTTAGGTTTCCAGACACAACCACTAGCTGAACACGATTCATTTTCAAATAAACTTGCAAAGACAAAATTAAATGTCCGCATGTTTGTCATGAGGTTGATTTAAAAAACATAATTCTTAGCATAGATGTCTTATTTTTTTGATTTATGTATTTTTAAATTTGTAAATTTAAATTCAAATTCATACCTCTACTAAAAAACATCATATATTATTCTAACGCATTTCAAGAACTCTTTACTGAAAGGTTTAATGTAGCTGCTTGTGTGTCTGCATTATAGGAGAAGCCGAGCCCGAGGCAGCAAGTGCTGCTTGAAGTGATTTTGTTTTTGGAAGAAGCTACTACAAATGCAGTACAGCAATACAGTTCTTGTATTGTCATCTATGCCTCATGATAAGGGCAATAAAAAGAGTAATCTCTGTTAGACTGAATGGAGATGTTATTCATTTAAATATTGAATCTTGAAAACATAGTACCTAATTCTGTGAGAATGTTCAAGATCTCTTACAAAAGTGAAGCTTGTCCAAAAATCATTTTTGATGATTCAGTGCATGGAGAGTAAGGGATATACTATCAAAGTTGTTAGCAGCATTTTCTTATTAAAAATTATCTGGCAATGCATCTTGAAACTGGCTGGCAACACTTTGGGCTAAAAATCCAAATATTGGCAATGCTGCTTGCAGTGTGGAATTCCAGAGGGGTAATATATTAATATTAACTGGTGAACATAACAAATCGGAAAGCAGGACCAACAAATCTGGAAAGGCCAGCATACCTCCATTTTCAGTCTATCATCACTGATGAGTCTCTGCAAGCTGCCACAGCTGTTTCATTGGAAAAAACAGCACTTGCATGATCACAGTAACAAGTATCCAATCAACACTTGTACCTGAGCAACATCAGTCACAAGAATCCAATCAGTATCAGAACAATGCAACATCACAGCGACTGGAATCCAATCAGCGTTAGAAAGTTAGAATGGACTGCCCCCAAATGCCGACAACATTAACGCACTGATGATGATATAATGCTACTCTAATTACAAACACCAGCAATTCTTGCGTTGCCAAAATAATTACAAACAAAGATACTGAAATTTTTTCTAATATCTAATTGAAGGGACAGCAATTGAAAATGAAATTGAAGGGATATCATTGAGGAACTGAGAGGCAATTAAATATTGAGACCACCTCTTTGAAGTACAACACGCTTGAATAAGTTTTTTCACTTCTTATTTCAAGTGCATAATACAATAATGTAGTTATGTCTTTATTGATGGAAATTGCAAAGAATAAAATCTGCATGAAAAATACATGAAAAACTGCCTATTATTCAATCCACAAATACAAGAATGATCGCTGCTGCACTCAGCTGAGACATGCAAACTCCTTCCATTTGCGATCACAAATACAAACCGAACAAAAACTATAACAAAGAAGGTAGCAGGGATACCAACAAATAGGACATCAATATACTCATGTGAAAAAATAAAAGATACAAATTCTTCTATATTACAAAATTTTCAGTAACTGATATTCAACAGAATGGTTTAATAACCTTCATAAATGCTGTACTAAATGCAGAATTAATTGTGTGCAACAAACAAGGTGGCAGGAAGACTTTTGACTCATTCTCCAATCTAATGATGGTTACTGGTTAATTCTCATTATGCAATTGGTGGGTGAGGCAACTACAGTGCATTAACTGCAGATAACACTCCCAAACTTCAATATGATAATTGAGTGAAAACTTTCGTGATATATTGTGAGCCGGCTAAAGTTCTAATAATGTAGAAATCACAAGGTTCACAGAATCTAAAGGCTTAAATGCTAAATTTTTGAGTACTCAAGTTTCATTTTGTCATTGTGCATTGCTTTTTCTTTGATAACTTTTTCCGCTTGCCAATGAGTTTCTCAATTTGAAGGCTGATGTAGGAGCATAACTAAGCAATAAATGTTTTTTATATTTAATTTGAAACATGTTAAGAGTAAATAGTATTTCATTCGATAGATTCCTCCAGCTCATCTGTGAGTGACATGCTCAATTAACAATCTTTTAAGCAGGTTTCATTGAAGACCAGATAATTTGTTTTATTGACAATTTTTTTGTTAGTTTTTTCACTGGTAAATAAAAAATCAGAGTACCAATAGACATTTTTATTTCTTTAACAATGTTTCGAATGTATCAAGCATTCATTTTCAACTTCAAGTTACAAGATGCATTGAGTGATGGAATTTGGATTGACATTAGTATAAAATCATGTAAATAGGATACTACTCAAAAATGTTAGAAATAATTACAAGATCAGCAAAATTTTGATATTATTTCTAACCTGCTTATATGTATTTTTTTATTTTGTATGTATTCATCTGGTGGAACATGTCTGCCTGAATATGTTTTGGCTAACGAGGCCAATAAGATGCAAGTCCATAATTATCTGATGCTACATTATTGTGAAATGGGTTCATGTAGGTCTGTAGCAACCATCCTTACTTCTTGATTTAGTATGCTAAAGAAACAGGCTCATTTTTTTCTACCTGGTTAGATAAATATTCTCCTGTTCAGTTCATCACTAGCTCTGTAAAATATGATAAAATAACAACCTTGGGAATCTCTGTGTTGCCTGACTTAATGTTNAGACTCACTGTATCCTGACCCATCTAACGTACCAGAAACCTTACTGTGTGCACTTGCGGTCTTTCAGATTTTCAACTACATTCTAAATAGTTGGGTGAAGACTAGCAAATATCTGAAATGCAATAATTTCAATTCAAATGTTTCAGCAAGATCTTTTCAAGGCATAAATTTTGCTGCTGATGCTTTGCCAAAGATCTTGCAATATTCACCAACCTTCTGCACCCTGGGCAGTAGCAGTAGGCACCAGCTCACTTGCAAGGCCACAGCCCACAAGGCACGAGTGAGTCAGAAAAAATAACCCAGGATAGGGATAAGGGATGCTTCACTTACAATGAGCTTCAGAGCGTGTAATGATATAATATAGCAATCAATTCAGCTGACAGGCTGCCATGTCTGGGCTTTAGCCTCCATGCAAGTTGATGCAACGGCTCTGGCATGTGCTGGACTGCTGGTAGGTATGTACATTATACATAACATACCACATGCTGTAGATGGATTGTCTGTCAAATGTCAATCTTGACCCCAGACCCATCACAGTAGATTGCCTTGTACCCAGGATAATGTTCCCTAACATGAGCAGAAAAGACAGGGCAGTCAGTTTAACAAGAGACAAAGCGGAAATCAAGACAAATGAGATGATCCACACCAATCCAAGTACCTAGGTGCTGAGGTGCACACTGCACCACTACCAGCGGGTGCGCAGCCGTAGACCAGCAAATTAACGCTCAAATCAGCCCTGGAGCCAACATGAACCTTCTAAATGCTATAGATATTGTCATCCTGGCACCTAAGCAGCTGTAGTCAATTGACCTATCTCACCACACGAACTTTAAACCAACACTGCTTCAGCACACAAGCTGCTACTCCACATAGTTAACGGTCAATACGTTGTTCTCCAATGCTTTATAACCCATACCATCACTTCTTACACATGCTGTTATCCTAAGTGTCCGCTGACCACACTGCATTGCCGCAAATGTGAACTGTACCAAACGGTAATGCGTCATCACCTTACTTACTCCGCAAGACGTTAACCCCGCGTCACTGTTTCCCTGCCTTACTATCCCCCAGCATCTTCTTCCCCCCACACTTACCCCGACTCTCCACCATTATCGCATGACTAACTGGAGGCTTTTCTCGCAGACCTTTGATGCTTATCCGAATTAGGTTAGGTTAGGTTAGGTTAGTTTACAACTCGTATAGATCCTCTTTTCATAGCGTAATGCAGTCAAGTGAGCAGAAACTAAGAAAAGCCGTCCGGCAGTCGGTGAAAAAAGGCGGGGAGACGGGGTAAGCGTGGAGGTAGAGTTATGCCGGGGGAAAACAGCTGCGACGAACGGACGGGCTGGAGTGCTGGCTGTGTATCAACAGCGGTATGGCGTAGGGAGTTGCTTACCGAAAATCGTGATTAGGTTAGACGGCATGGGATAGAGCTGTTGGATGGTTTTAAATACGACGTAGAGCGATTGTATTGGGGGCTTACTTCTCATTAGCTCGCTGGTTAATTTCCATGAAGGGGATTTGTACTATTGGCTTTTAACATATAATCCTTTAGTCTACTCTGCCCTTTAGCAGGCTCACGCACGGAAAGGAGGATGAAAGATATGCTGGTCTTGGGCAAGGCTGGCCTCTGGCATGCATCCCCCAACCAGCAACACCACAGAACATCTGAATTCTGGATCCAGGATTTTGAAGAAACCCGTTTTCACTTTTCACCACAAGGTCGCGGACCAAATAAACTTTCCGCAACAACTACCTAGTCTGTGTTCCCATTCATAAAATATTGCCAATCAATCTCGTGGTTGAACTAGTCTAAGGTTGACCCACGAGATGCCTATTTTGCAGATGTAGCTTGTTGTTCGTCTGTGACGTCAATGATCTCAGTGACGTCACGGGCATTGACCAATCACCGAAATGCGATAAAACCAGTCAACCCATAGTTGAACTAATATAAGGTTGACCCACGGCGATGACAATTTTTCGCCGTTCTGCGCATCTCTAGAGTCTAGACTCTAGATCTAGAGTGATGTCACTGTGGGCACAAACTGTAAATAGTGTAGATCAATACATTGTTTTTATGTCATCTTTGAAAGCATTAAAAAAATTGACCTCATCAAATGGCTC